CCGACGCCGAGCTCTGAAGTAAAAGTACTTTTTTTTTTTATCCACAGTTGAAGTCGAAACTACATTTACTGATCAGGAATAGAAATAAGATGCAGCAGGAGCATGGACGGTAAACATCACTGGATGCTTCAGCTGCTGCAAAAAGCTGTTCTCAGTAACTCACTCACTGCTGCTGATTTCTGATCAGAAAGCCCCTGACAGCGTTTATTTATTTATTTTTACCTTTTTCCTGTTTTTTGAAGAGTCACAGGAATTTTGCTCCATGACCACGTAAACACCAAAACCACTAAACTAGCATCTTACGTCAGGGAAAATCTGTTCGCCTTTTCTGTTGTTTCACAATCTGTTCTGGAAGAGTGAGCTGCAGAAGCTTTATCCGGTTAGCGCATCACGTTAGGCATGGCGGCTTCCCAAAACCATCTCCTAATTTGTGGATTCTCTGCCTCCTGGTCATGTGACGTGTGACACACAGGGATGGAAATCAGCTTCAGAGCTGTTATGTTCACTGTGAAGGTGCCGGAGCTTGTTACCACGCCCGTTTAGTGGTCAGTGGCAGTGAATGAGGTAAGCCGGGCGTACACTGTACGACTTTTTCACTTTTTTGAGCCGATTTTCCACTCGTGCGAGAATCCACGAGATCGGGGCGAGTTTAGCGCCGAGCGGTCGTGTAGTGTACAGGGGGTTACGAGAGGCGATTAACACCACGTGACCAGCTGCTGATCAGCAGTCGTGAGGTCGCACGGACTTCTGGCGTGTTTGATATTTTGCTCGTCCCTCGTGAGGGTATCGCACTGTTGAAGCGGCGCTGCGACCCAAAAAGTATCAGAACCGCTCACGGCGCATGCGCAATCATGCATCAACACCGCTCGCCCGCTATTTCCCTAATAACACACGTTGTTCATTTTTATTTCTACACGTTTTTTTACTCACAAATATTGTCAAGAAAGCGTGTTTGTCGTGTTCATGTCAAATTAAACTGATCACAAAACACAGATTTACTTTCTTTATTTCGTTTTCCTCATCCAACCCCCATAAATCCCTGTGTGTCCTCCTGCAGCACTCCTGAAGGACAACAGGCAAGACAAGACAAAAAAGTCTGACGTGTTGAGTAAAAACTGCTATTTTTAGCATATTTTTAAGGCCGACGTGTTGCTACCAGACGTACAGTGTGAGCAGTCAGGTCGCATCGAGGACTGGGTCGTGTAGTGTGAGCGCATGACTCGTGAGATCTGCCCTGCGAGGCAGTCGTACAGTTTGAGCTGAAGCTGAGTGCTACGAGTGAAAAAGTCGCACAGTGTACGCCCAGCTTTAATGAACTCTTGGTCTGTGATCAACCATCTGAAACTCAAAAACCCAACTCTGTTTGGGTCCTTGAACAACCCAGCAGTTTCAGATTGGCCACTCATGGATGAAATTTGGTCAAATGTGTTCGCCTGATGGTGAAGTTCTGTCTTTATACGTGGTTCATGAACACACCGTCTCCAAGAAGCTGTTTAAAAAGTCGGACGTTTTTCCCCGTCTGTGAACTCATCATCAGCAGCTCCTGCGTGTGGACCCTTTTACTTCCAGAATTTTCTACTTTCTCAGAAGTTTAAAATAATAAATCTTCTCTGCTAATTTTTATTTATTTATTATTTTTGTGATAAATCGGTGTCGGCAGCTCCGACCCGTGCAGAAATCAGATATCAGTGCTGGCTTTGAAAAATCGAATCGGTGCATTTTTAGTTCAGCTGTATTCTAGGTCTGATTAAAGTCCTATTCATTATGTGTTGAGCAGTAGAAGCTGGTTGAAGACTCGGTGGATGGTAGCTCGGTGAAGCGGCGCGACGAGCTGGCGTTCCCGGCGCTGCTGAGGCCCGTAGCAGGAAACACCGGGCTGACTGTTGTCCCAGCTAACTCACAGGACTCCACCGTCCACATCTCAACACCACTCACGCGGCTGATGCTGGGCTAGGGGCCAAATATTCAACAGCTCCTGGCATCCAGAGGACGCCGCAGGAATTCAGATCCATTACGCTCCCGACCGCATCAAAGGGACTCTGGGAATCGGAGGCTAAACCTGCTCCAGATGCTCGCTGCTGGGTGTCACTAGGATGCACCGCGGGGGGGCGAGTGTCATAAGGGCTGACGCCAGTGATGCAAAACCCACAACCGGTCACTGGCGTTGATTTGATTTGTGTGGTGAACACAATGGGGAGGACAACAAAGCGGATGTAAACAAAAGCGCTCGCTGCGCTTCTCTGGACAAACAAACAAACAGCTGCAGCGATGGTAGCACGTTTACTCCTGATTACAGGCGGCGAATAAAGCCAGGTGTGCCGTTTAACGCCATCATGAAGCAAAAGAAGCTTTAAACCTGCAGGGTTTCATGTTTCACCGCATAATTCAGTCCTGCTGATCACAGCTTTGTTTCTGCAGCACAGAAACGCAGGAAGTGGAGAAGCAGCAGAAAGATTTACAAGCGGATAAATCTAGGGATGCACCGATACCGATACTGGTATCTGCACCGATACCAGTATCGTATCGGTGCAGATGCCGATACTGGTATCTACGCCGATACCGATACTGGTATCTGCGACGATAACGGTATCGTCCCGGTGCAGATACGATACTGGTATCGGTGCAGATACCAGTATCATATCGGTGCAGATACCGATACTGGTATCTGCGCCGATACCGATACTGGTATCTGCACCGGGACCGATACTGGTATCTGCGACGATAGCGGTATCATCCCGGTGCAGATACGATACTGGTATCGGTGCAGATACCAGTATCATATCGGTGCAGATACCGATACTGGTATCTGCGCCGATACCGATACTGGTATCTGCGCCGGTGCTGGTATCTGCAGCGATACCGATACTGGTTTCTGCGCCGATACCAATATCGCATCGGTGCAGATGCCAGTATCGGTATCGCTGCAGATACCAGCACCGGTGCAGATACCAGTATCGGTATCGGCGCCGATACCAATATCGCATCGGTGCAGATACCAGTATCATATCGGTACAGATACCGATACTGGTATCTGCAGCGATACCTATACTGGTATCTGCGCCGGTAACAATATCGCATCGGTGCAGATACCAGTATCGGTATCTGCACCGATACTGGTATCTGCGCCGGTGCTGGTATCTGCAGCGATACCGATACTGGTATCTGTGCCGAGACCAATATCGTATCGGTGCAGATACGATATTGGTATCGGTAAAAGTTAACCGATACCAATGCAGTTGCTTGAAAATGGCTTCACTGTAACTTGTCGTTTCTGTTCCTCTAATATTTTAGTTTTGTGATGATTTCCATTCAAATATTTTACTTTTTATCTACCTCACAGTCTTTTCCTGTTGAAAGCAGAGAAGAAAATAAAATCTGTATTCCAAATCATTGCATTGTTTTTGTGTGGTATAAATATAGGTATCGGTATCGGCGAGTATTCAGATCCAAGTAACCATCATGTGTGTGTTATAACTCTGGCACAAACACTATGACCAAGCAGTCCTAGTTATCAAGCAGGTATCAGTCATATTGTGAGTAGAACACACCTGGCAACACCTGACGGTCAGAACAAGAGAAAATACCAACAGAACACTATTTCAGGGGGTTTAGACAAATTGCAGGATTTGTTCAGTTTTTATGTCGCATGTGTTCGTTGCATTTGTGTTTATTAACCCATTCACTGCCAGACGTTTCCTGATCAGTAAAGCCCTTTGCCGCCAGCATTTTTCAATGTTAGGATTTAACATGAAGACTTTAATCGTCAATGGCAGTGAATGAGGTAATAAATTGTTTTTATGCGTGTTTATTGTGCATTTGTTCATTGCGCATGTGTTTGTTACGCGTGTGTTCAATAGCGAGTTTATTGTGCATGTGTTCATCATGCGTTTGTCGAAGCAAAATCATTACTTTTCATTTAAAGAGCAAGTTGCCCCCAAATGTGTGTCTAATCATGCTGCAGACACGTGTCGTCAATACACTTTAGTGCATTTTAGTTAAAATTAAATTTTTCTGCCTAAAACTGTCAGTGTCGTGCCGTTGTCAGGTAAAAACTCTGCACTGCCTTTGAATTTAAATCTGCCATCTCTATTGGCTAAGAGGTACCCTAGGAAGTTAGCTGGTACCATATGATGTCACAATGTCGTTGTGAGCCTGTGTGTGTGTATTTGTTAGCGGCTCCGCCCTCTCGATCTACTAGGCAACAGCATTTGTTGCATTTTTCAAACAGGAAGTGGGAGTGGAGTAAGACTCTGGTAGGGGGTGACTTGCTCTTTAAATCGAAGCACAACATGTGTGTGATCCACGGCCTAAGGCGGAGCGAGTTAGCTCTTTTAGGCCCGTTCGGGACCCATGAGCCGACCAGCTAGGGAGGAGGCCAAGATGAGCGGATCGTTGGTGTCGGTAGCTTCACGCGTGTGCTTTTACTTTGGTGGTGTTTGTTTGCCATAACAACAAAAATAAAGATTTTTCTGTTGAGCATGTTTGTAAATCTGGGTGAGATGTGACCCGGATGTGGAGTTTATGTGTTTTTAACACTTTTGTTTCCTGTTGTGTGTTTTAAATTTTTAAAATCAACCATTGGACAACTTTTGGAGGATTTAAATGAGTCAAAATGTTCATTTAAATAAAAAAGTTTCAATCTTTATTGATTTCTGCATGTAACCTGCACATGGCTGATTCATGAACAGACACTCGTAAACCACACACACGAGCGATGAACACATGAATGTCTCCATTCTTTTGTTAACGAGCAACAATGAGCAACTGTTGGCTGATGAGTTCAGGAGAGACGGGGAAAAACAAGTCTTTGTTCACTGGTGCTCCCTCCTGCACCTTTTGGAGCCTCCAGACGCTGAACCAGACCCAGACCCTCTCCCGTTCGCCTCGGCTCAGCCTGTGCAGGTGTCGACAGGTGGTGCCAAGCGGATGAACGTGGAGGAGGCTCGTTGTGGCGCCTCCTGCTGATCCCTCTCCTGTCTGTTTTCTCTCCTTCTCCCCAGGCTGCTGTTTTGTCACGTTTTACACACGGAAAGCTGCTCTCGAAGCCCAGAACGCGCTGCACAACATAAAGACCTTAACAGGGGTGAGTGCGTGTCCTCCGTTCTCCTCTAATCACACACTCGCAGCTGCACCCCGAGGCGGCCTCGCCCCGACCTGCGATTCCACCATTGTGTTAGATCAGCGCTGCCGCCGCGCATCCGCAGGCGTAGGTGAGCGTCAGCGCCAGCAGGTGAGCAGCTGACAGGTAGAGCTGCTTGGTGAAACCAGAGGCGGATGTCAACACCGCCCTTTAGGAGTGCTGTTAGTATTTTAGTTGACATTATTTATACTTTTACCTATTTTTTCTAAAGGAAACTTGGGATATTGGTCCTGTGAAGTCAGCGTCTCACCTGCAGCAGACATAGGGGTCTGTGGCCCTGCTCTGAGTCTTCTACTCCTGGTCACAGGTGTTTCAGAGTACTTGAGCCCTAAAGGGACAAATTTAATAACACTGATGTGGGAAGCGATTTCTTCTCGAGAGTCAGGTCCATGGCTGCGTTCCACTTCTGCATCATGATGCTTGTCTCTGATTCACTAAATGGAATGCCCCCCCACCCCCAAAAGCACTCTGAGGAAGCTGCAGCAGATTTATTTCTACTTCCTTGGCGGCTCCGGCTACCTGGAATCCTGTTGGATCAGAGGATCGACCTCCTTGGCAGGGCAAGGTGGATTCTGGGAATCCCTCGTGATCGGAATGCTGGGATCAGAAGTCCAGCTGCTTGCTTCTTCCAGAGGAAGCATGTCAGTTTGTTGTTGGGGGATGCGTTTGTAGACTAAAGCCTGAGTCATGCTTCTCCGTCAGCTCCAACAGGGAGAGACACGCACAGACGGAGACGTTTTGCTCTCATACTTCTCCGTCTCCTGGGGAGTGTTGCAAAGCAATTCCCCGCCAGGACAGCAGAGGGCGTAGCGCTGTTCTGTGGTATCCTGTCATGTACCCGGTCCAAGATAGTGTGTTTATATTGTGTTTTTTTTTTGTATATAAGAGACTTTTTAACTCATCCTCCTCCACCTCTTCATGCGCTCGCCACCTCTAAACCCACGTTTCCTGTCATTTCTGTCCACAAATAAAACGCTTGCTGAGCATCTTTTCACTCCTCCAGTCACGGGGAATTAAACATTCATATTTTTAGAGTTTTTTCGCGAGGTATTCTTCAAGCTTCTCCGTGTCTGCCGCTAGTTATCCTCGCCTCTCTATGTTTTTGAGGGCGCAATGGTGGCGGTGTAGACGACAGCGGTGCCCTGACCAATCACACGCTTGCGTTCTCCGTCTCGACGGACGGATGTTTAGAAAAGAGAGCTCGACTCCGTCCGTCCTTGCGGAGCTCTCCGGCAGGCCCACAAGGACGGACAATGGCGTTGCGTGTCTCCGCACTGACGCAGACGCATGACTCAGGCTTTAGTCAGGTATCCGGAGCAAATCACAGAGAGGAAGGTTTTGGCTCCTCCTCCCGGACTCTCCTGCTGCGTCGCTGACTTCGAGGCGTCATTCAGGATCCATTTTCTCCTCAGAGGTGGAAAAATTGTTCCACTTTTCCAGTGAAACACAAAAACACGGTCAGATCCATTTTCCGTGTTCCTAAATTAATGAAATACGAGGAAACGTAGACGCACTCGTGGAACATAAACAGATTTTTATTCAGTGCAACACGTGAAATCTGACCGTATTCGCTGATATCGGTGAGCAGGGAAGGATTCGGCGTAGCTTGTGAGGTATTTTGGGCGCTGCAGGCTCCCGTACCTGACAAACAAAATCCGTACCCAGAAAGCGTCTGTAATACGAAGCATCATATTTGATGATATGATCGGCTATAATATTATATAACAATTTGATCTAACGTCTAATAAATATATTGTATGATCCAAAACAATTAAATATACATAATTTGTTTGTTTTTGTTCTAATAATCGCCTCTAAATGAGACTTTTTATGGTGATGTTTCCATTTTTTGTTGGTAAGCATTTTTATTTTAAAAAAATAGTCTTTGAAGTTTGACTTCCTGTTTCCAGGGTTGATCAAACATCAAATCTGCTGAATAGTTTTAATTCTCAGCAGTAAATTAAAATGTTTGAAATGGGTTTTTTTCCCCTCAGCAACGCCTGTCAGGTTTTTTTCGTCTCTCACCCAAGATCAAAGGGTCGAGGCAACCGAACTACAGGAGAAGGTCTTTCAGGGCTTTTCTTTTGGTTTTCATGTTTACGCTGCGTCTCGATCATAAACACACAGAAAGCAACGATGAAGTAAGAGAGCGAAGAACTCGTCTGCCTGAAAGTCGTGTGCAGAAAAAAAAACGCGACTAGAAACCTTCATTTTCAGCATCAATCGTTACTTGAACCGCTAACGCTAACCATGTTTTATCAACAACAACGGGGAGCTGGATCCAGTGCCCCGATCCAGCTGTAGATCAAACCCTGACCACGTTTTAAAGTTTCCAACTCAAATCGTTTTCAGCTGAAATCTCCTGTTAAGGGTTTGTAGCCTGAAAGACAAATCCCTGGGTAAAAGAACCCACGAAGTGCTTATTTTGAGTAAAGTTTGAGGCTTTTGCCACAAAGCAGCACAAAAGGCAACAATTAGTGTTGAAGATGTGAGTCTAACGCTGCAGGTCGGGGCGTTCCCGTCCAGTAAACTCACCCGTGCTCGTGCCAGAGCACAAAGCCGTCCTCTGAGACCCAGATGACACCGATCAACAGCTCGATACGTGTCAGTAATTAAACCTGCATCACATTCATCGTGTCAGCAGCAGACAACCCTGACTGGTGGGTATCAGATCGTCACGTATCGACTGACAAATACGGTTTTAAATCAGATATACAGGAGCAAGGACGGCGGCGGTAAATACAGTCGCCTGCAAAGCCCGATCAATACGGGCATAATGATGGCGGAATGATGAGGTCGAGCGGGGTTTGTTCATAATTCCTTCTTTTCAGGCCGTCTTCACCTCGGATTCAAGTAAAACATGGCTGAACGGGTTACGGGAGGGGGAGATAATGAGGAGGCCGAATTAATTGCTGGTTGAGGCTCGTGAAAACAAAAGGAGAGCTCGCAGGGGGGGGGGGATTAGCAAAGGTACTCTGCAGATGGACAGGACAAAGGCGGGGGGAGCGGTCCTGGGCTCCCGAAGGCCAGGCAACAACCGGGCAGCCGTTAAAAACCTATACCTACTTATTAACTTATTAACTTCCACAATCTCACGGCTTGTAAAGAGCCGGTGGAACAATGTTTGTATTGCTGCCCCACCCCCAGCCACCCACCCCCCCTGCGAGAGAGAGACGCGATCAGAGTGGAGAGCTGGATGAGGCCCAAATCACACTAAAGGACTCCAATGGTGCCAGAGCTGAACAGGAGCCATGTTGGTTCAGACAGAACCAGTCGAGTGGATTCAGGAGAGCAATAAAGTGGATCTGTGTGTGTGATTGTGTATGTGTGTGCACATGTGTGCATATGTGTGTGCATGTGTGTGCACGTGTGTATATGTGTGTGCACATGTGTGCATATGTGTGTGCATGTGTGTGCACGTGTGTGTGTGTGCGTGTGAAAATAGGTGTGTGCGTGTGTGTGTGTGTGTGTGCATATGTGTGTGCACGTGTGTGTATGTGTGTGCGCGTGTGTGCATATGTGTGTGCATATGTGTGTGTGCGTGTGAAAATAGGTGTGTGTGTGTGTGTGTGTGTGCACGTGTGTGCATATGTGTGTGTGTATGTGCGTTCATTTGTGTGTGTTCACGTGTGTGTATGTGTGTGCATATGTGTGTGTGCCCGTGTGTGTGTGCGTGTGAAAATAGGTGTGTGTGTGCACGTGTGTGCATATGTGTGTGTGTGTATGTGCGTTCATGTGTGTGTGTGTGCACGTGCGTGTGTGTATGTGTGTTTGTGTGTGTGCGCGTGTGTGTGTGTGTGTGTGTGTGTGTGCACGTGTGTGCGTGTGTATGAGCGTGTGTGTGTGTGTGTATGCGCGTGTGTGTGTGTGTTCGTGTGTGTGTGTGTGCATGTGTGTGTGTGTGTGTGTGTGTGTGTGTGCACGTGTGTGTGTGTGCATGTGTGTGTGTGTGTGTGTGTGTGTGTGTGCACGTGTGTGTGTGTGAGTGTGTGTAGGTGTGTGTGTGCGCGTGTGTGTCTCAGAAGGATGTTTGTGGAGCAGCAAAGCCGTCAGGATTACTCCTGCTTTTATAGGTGAAACAGCAGAAGAAGGATAACAGGAATCAGCGGCGCCGCGAGGCAGTTTTTATTAGGCCCGAGCAGCGAAAGCGCTGCGAAGGCCTCTTGTTTTTGCTCTGATTATTAGGCCCGAGCAGCAAAGCGCTGCGAAGGCCTCTTGTTTTTGCTCTGTTTATTATTATTTTTTATTATTCTTAGCCCGCTTTGAACGTCTTTTTGGGGACCTTAACATACCCCAAAACTCACAATATTTTGCAAACTTGTCAGGCCTGGTGAAAAATTTGATATTTTAAAGGTCCCAAAAAAATCACAAAGAAAATGGCTGAACAGCGCCCCCTAGAAAGTGAAAAAAACCCCTCTCCATAAAGCTTAGTTTATCGTACAGTTATGAAATTTGGTACACTTGTAGTACTCAACAGTCCGCACAGAAAAGTCTCTTGCAACCATGGTCAATATCAAACAGGAAGTCGGCCATTTTGGGTTGAAATGGCGATTTTTTGCAGTTTTTGCCGTTTTTAGGGTCCGTTCCTGATTGGATTGCTCGATCATTTTTCGCACGATCGTCTCAAAAATTGTGTAAAATTGCTAAGAAGGGATGGGCGAACAAAATGAGATGAGAATTCTGAGTTTTCGTATATGTTGAAGGGGCGGGGCCAGGCCTCGAAGTTTGACTACTAGCCAAAAATATTTAAATTGCTATAACTTCATAACTGAATGGAATAGAGTTACCAAACTTTCTGTGGTCATTCGTCATCCACCCACAAAGTAAATTGAATGGTCGGATGATGACATCACACAAGCCCCGCCCCCTCAGGACCAAAAAGATCAAGTTTTACTGTGAAAGGTCCCAAATTGCCCCATTTCACTTAATCACCACAAATTTGT